GTTGTAAACATGCGTGTACAAGAAATAGAATGAGGAATAGAACGGCTTAAAGAGAAAGAATAAAAAGAAATGTCCCAAAGTTTCAACCTCAACTTGGTCAAAAGGCCCAAATGAGACCTCATTTAAACTGCTGACAGAAAATCTCAATGAAATTAGGACTTTATAGACAGTGACTTCACACAGTATACATTGAATTAATCCATCTAGTATTTGAAAAAATGAAGCCACTTTGCATTAACGTGAAAATTTGTTTTAATTGTAGACATCGTTATGATGCTGTTGTGATGTGCAGGACTGTGTTGTGGACGTGTGATAAACAATAAGGGAGTTTTAAGAGGGCTGCAAAATTGGTTTGTGCTCTTTAACGTCAAAATAAAGATTACTTGTACACTGATGAATACAGAAAAAATGCCACACAGTCAGTAAAACACACAGTAAAGATGAAGCTCGGCTTCTTTGACTTTAACTTACTCTGCCAGAAAATCTGAGTTTCGGGAAGAGCCATTTTCCCTAAGATGCTTTGAAATGTATTATTTAACAAGCACATACACATTAAGCCTCTTCACATTATGCTAATGCAAAAGACTTTTGAATTCCAGTAAACCTTAAATTATTTTGGACATTGCGTAACACGTCCCAGGTTATATATTTTATGAGTTAACCCACATGGTCACTTCGTCAACCACTTGCACGAGGTCATGTTTGTTTTTTGTTTTTTATATAAAAAAGTCAGTTCTGCAAGTGGTTGCCAGTGTTGTATAAAGTACCACAAAGTGATACTTGAGTAAAAGTACAAGTATCTTACCAAAAAATTACTTTGGTAAAAGTTAAAGTCTCCTTTAGGAATATTATTAGAGTAAAAGTCTTAAAGTATCTGATATTTTTAATACTTAAGTATTAAAAGTAAAAGTATTGATATAAAATGAGCAGTTAGATTTTCTGTAATGATATTTATTAGGAGGTGAACTCCCCAAAAAATGCAGAAATGACTATGTTGTATTAAAATAATTAATTTATGTTAAATTTAGGATGCACTAGTCTAGCTTTTGCAGTTTATATACATGTATCAAGGCTGCACAAACCTTTCCCTCAAAATGAAAATCTATTGCGGCCAAATGCAATAACGTAATTCATGAAATACAAATACTTCTTAAGTACAGTCCTTTTATTTTAATGATTATGTCCTGCTGGAGTGTGACATGATTTGTTTGTGTACAAAACTAATACGATATCAGAATTTTATATATTTATACTTCTCATTCAACCACAATTAAATTCACTCTATCTAGGAGGCACAGTTTATATGGATAGTATTTATTTTTTTACAATAAGCTGCTGGGAGGAAAACAAACAAAAATGAAATAAAAGTAACATCTTTACTTCTACTCTTTGTTAAAATGTAAGGAGTAGAAAGTACAAATAATTGTGTGAAAATGTAAGAAGTAGAAGGAAAAAGAAGGCTGAAAAATAATTACTCAAGTATACCGATACCCAAAAAATTTACTTAAGTACAGTAACAAAGTATTTGTACTTAGTTACTTTACAACTCTGGTGGTTGCTACAACATTACTTTCACAAAGATAATTTCTGCCGTGTTTTGACCTTTTTTAATGCAGAAGTCGTTGCTGATTCAGCTCTTCTTACCCCAGCAACTTTCAATTGTCAACATCAATCCCGGGTGTGGAAATAAAAACAGTGCACCATCTTGAATGGCAGGTCTCGCAAGATCAGTGAATTTGAATTCCCATCATTCCTGTGACTCACTGAGGCAAATCCAGTTGAGTGAAATTCCTGGCTTCAGCTCTGCTTACAGAAGTGATCTGATATTGCGTAAGGGCCATAATGGCTCAGGCAGCCACTGCAACGGATCAGTAAGACTTGGTCAACCTCTCAGCCTGCGTGTTTTACTGTGTCATTTACTGGTAATATTATTTCTTATTTCCCCTAACCTTTAATAGATGTGTCTGAAAATGTTGCCGTGTGCTGAAGTGCACAGAGTTTGTTCAAACAAAACCACACACCTCTAAAAATATGACTCACAAGCTCCAATAAGTCATGTGACACAAAGTGCTCATAGAATAATAATGAAGCTTTGCAGGGTCCTTCTGACAGACTTGACAGACTTCTTGTCCAACACAGACGAGGTCAGACTGATCCCAGAACTGGATCATTGCAGTTTTGGTTTCTAATGAAGCCACAGCAGCACATGTGTCTTTGGTTTTTGGAACTAGTTAGAACGAGTTGAGAACGATGAGATCAGCTCTATTGGGTAAAAAGGAAATACCACCAAGCATTATTTTTTCCAGATCTTTTTTTTTTTTTTTGTTGCAACAGCATACAATTGACTTCCAATTAGTATCATCACTGAAACAAAAGTCCTGTGAAAAAATATGTATATAAAAAATACACAACAGTTCTGAACTTTGTGAAAATACCTAAAAAGAAAATTGAATGGAAAAATACAAGCAAATAAAAAAATGACCACCTACATTGTTCCCTTTTAATGAGATGTGATTACAGTATGAGCGAGACGTTTGACCCTGGCTAACAGAAAAAAAAGGCCAGTTTTAGTCATTCCAGATGTTAGGAAATGTACTCATTTCTCGCCATAAAACGTGCTTTTATTTTTAGTGAGAGATCTCCAGTCACAGCAGGACTGCAGTGACAATTCATTTTTTTCATATTAAGGAGCCAATAAAGCAGCTATAGTGCTGCTTTTTGCGTGCATCGTGCTCAGTTGCAACTCAGTGAGACACATCACCTGTTCTACTCCTCTAAAACACATCTTATTCAACACGTTTTCAGATTTTATTTCTTTTCTGTTCTTCCTACCCACAGTGTGACAAGATGTTTGACTGCTCTGCAAAACCTGATATGCATGAAGTAGTTCAGAGCATGCAGGAGTTACTGTAAGTTCCTTTGGAAAGAAAAAAAAAGATTTTACCATCATACATCTGCTGTTCCATAAGGACTTGATCCACTCTGTAATTCCTGGACATTCCAATCTGTATTGCTTCTCAGAAATAGAAACTTACTCTGCATGATTGGTGATGCTTTATGTCGCAGATAACAGTCAGTAGCGCTTAAAATAGAAGTATATGTTTGTGTCTAAGATCTGCTTTGATTCTCTCAAGTGACATTGCTCCTATCGATTGGTTTTAGGAATGTCAGTCTCCCTGGTTTTCACCAGTTAATAATACAAATGATCAGGAAAACAACAATTGAAGAGCAATCTACAGCTGATTATTATTTAGATTTCCATCTTCATCTTCTACTGTTCATCCATGGTCAGGTAGGGGAGGCAACAGGTCCAAGAGAGTAACCTAGATGTCCCTCTCCTCAGCGACACTCTCCAGTTCTCCAGATCCCAAAGCATTCCCGAGCCTGAGAGGATATAACCTCTCCAGTGAGTTCCGGGTCTGATCTGAGGTCTCTTCCCAATGGAACAAGCTCAAAACATCCAAAGGGAGACATCCAAATCAGATGCCGGATCACCTCAACTGATTCATTTCGACGCAGAGGAGCAGTGGCTTACAACCTACTATGAAGGAAGCTAACTGTGATCCATCACATCGAACTGAGATTTAAGTCTCAAAGTGGTGTGTAGAGAAATGGGTCGATAACCACACCTACCACATTTTTGATTAGTGTTTGAAATAATTGCATTTAGTCAAAACACAATGAATAAATGCCTCATCAGTGTATCATTGAAACCCTTTTTTGAGCAGTAGCAACAAAAAAAACTTTATTCTGAGCAAAAACGTCTTAAATTTTTTGACATTTTCCCTGTGAGCTCTAGCTTTTGTTTCTTTCTAGCAGGGAAATCTTAAATCCAAATGCTATTTGAGATTTCTTCCTTAAAATTACATCAAAAATTCCTCATTAGAATAATCTTAATATAGGATTTAGACCTAATATTAATGTATTACTGTGATAAACAAGGCAAAATGAGCCACATCCCTGGAACTGATCATGATATCAGGATGATCCAGGTATCCAGCTTAAAAAAGCAGGTAACTGAAAATGTGCTGAGGTCATTTGTTTGATGTGATGGGTCACAATTTTAGCTGCTTGATCCACACCTCATGACCGTAAGTCAGGGCTAGAACTCAAATCAAGAACTTTGCCATTTGACCCGACACTTTTTGTTCACCAAGATTGTTCGAAGCAACATCCCTATTACTGAGGACGAGGCTTCGATCTGTCAATTTATCTCCTGCTCCATCCTACGATCCCTTATGAACAAGATGCCCAGATACTTGAACTCCTTCACCTGAAGACACACCCACCCACCCCAACTTGGAAGGGGCATTCCACCTGTTTCCAGATAAGAACCATGACCTCAGACTTCAAGCCGACTCTCATCCCAGCTGCTTCATAGGCAGCTGCAAACTGCCCCAGTGCATGCTGAAGGTCATAACCCCAAGATGCCAACAGGACTACGTACATCATCTGCATAAAGTAGATGATCCTGTGGTCCCCAAAACCTGACACCCTCCTCTCCATGACAGCACCTTAAGATCCTGTCCACATAAAGGATCGGAGGCAAGGGACAGCCAACCTGCGCTGAGAACAAGCTCAACTTTGTGATGAGGATTGGAACTCCACTCCTGCGTTGGTTATACAGGAACCAGATAATCTTTTATAGCAATCATGGCACCCCATTCTCCTGCAGCACCCCCACTGAAATATCCACAACACAATGTCCACAAAACACACAGATTGAAAAATCACACTAATTTCCCTATTATCTGACTTTTTAAAATAGGTACAACCTTCCACTTATATTTACATTTATGCTTTTTGTTCACTTCTCACTATTTTTTTATTTGCATTTTTGCCAAAAACCTCAAATCCTAAAAATATTGTTTTCCAACTTTGTATTTTTTGTCATTTCAATAAAAAAAAACTTTAAGCTACTTCAAAAAATAATGAAATGTCTACTTTCCCCCCCACAAATAATTTTTTATAGTATGATTTCATTTTTAATAACATTTGGCATCCTTATATACAAGTTGTGTTATTTCAAAAGTGTGGGAGAATAAAGTACGAACGTTTCATCCAATTTATAAAAGCAAACATTATTGATACCAATAATTTGCCCACAACAAAGCAAGCTAAATGATTTTGCTCGGTTTTCATACTTCTAAAAAAAGCTTCAATTATGAATGCATCCGCAAAAAATGAGGCAGCATCATCAAAAAAAATCCAAGTTTGCTCAGTTTTTAAACATCCGTGTAAAGCTCACCTTCTGTCAGCGCAGCATCTTGGCAGATTCAGGGGCATGAGATGGGCAAAAGTAAGCAAGTAGGTGGGTGGGAGGGTTTGGGGGGGTTGGAGAGGGGTGAGTAAGAGATGACTCAACAGCCCTCTACTATAAGATATCCTGATGGAGCCTAACAGTGTCATACACTCAGACGCCAACTAAGGTAAGGTCAACTTTTCACTCCATCTCCTCCTCTTGTAGCTTCTAAACTCTGATTTTATTGCAATATCTTTATTTTCACATTTAATCTTTGTCTTAATAAATAATACAAATTTTATTAGTATGTTGATAACCTTAGCAGATATTAAAAAGTATTTAATAGGTAAGATATGTGAAGAATGTTGCTGCAGTCCTGGCTGTTTGATAGATTATCTGGCTTGTATGCACTTTCATTTTTATTTTACTGAAGGACTAAAAAGGAGTACTGGAAAGACTAATATTGTGTAACCAGTTTTATGATCTTTGTACTTTTACACGGAACAGAAACTCACAAGTTTTAATCATTTGCTTGAAAAAACGTATTACAGAGATATGAACTCATGTCTATATGTTTTGTTGCATAACAAATAAAAACACAATTATTTAAAGAATTTGGATCATTAAATATTGTGATTTTCCCTTTTTTCTGTAATTTTCTCCTACAGAAAGTCTTGTTCTTCTGCGTTCTGCACATCCAGGGAAATCTTATGATTATGGACTACACTCTGGTGCTTCTGATCTCCGTCTTTCATGTTCTGAGTGTGGGAACAGGAGCTCCTCTGGAAGGAGCGCCTCTGGAAGAGGAGCAGATTAAACAGAAAGTGGAGGAATACGCAAATTTGCTGATAGTTCGGCTGAGCCACAACTTCCAGGTATTATTTGGAGCTCTGTTTATGCAAATACAGTGCATTATGAACAAGCAAACATATAAACGGATTTTTTTTGACTAAATCATTTTGTTGTTGATGTTTTCCAGACTCCCCCCATTCAAACACTGAGGCCATCCATTACAGAACTGGGAGGACTTTTTTCGATAGTGGCGGTCTTAGAGGGCTACAACAACCTGATCTCTGACTCTTTAGAAAACGTCACTCAGATCAAAACGGAGATCTCTATTCTGACAGAATACATCCACCAGTGGAGCCTGGAGCACTGCAAAGAGCTGCAAACAAAGTCTCCAGAACCTGAAGCGCTAAAAAGCCTGCAGAAACTGAAAAGATTTATTCATACAGTGGGCATCGAGGCTCTCATGAGAGTCAAGGAGTACCTCGAACTGCTGCGGAACAACCTTGATCATCTTGAAATTTGCTAAAAGATGGACACTATAAAACCTCTGGCCTGATTTTTGGGCGAAACTTGAAAAGTCTGCACCGATGGGTGTGCTATTTTACTGAACAATCCTGTGGAAAATCCTAAAATATGCACTTGCTTTTTATACAAATACTATTTATTCACAGCATTTTAAAAGTATTTTAATTGTGTAAAACATAAATGTATTTTTCATATTTAAATATCCTTGCACTCAGAGTTATCATGCTGTTAAAATATTTGTATTACGTCACCTCTGTCGTCAACAAAGAGCTCTCGGTGAGAGAGGTTTGTTACACCGCCGTAAATGATGAATCAGCAAAATAACACTGACTGGGATCGGAGGAAAATGTTGTGAGCAGGACCGTCATCCCTGGAAATTCCAGTGACCCAGGTTGGTAAATTAACAGCATGTGTGTTTGTACTAAGAGGAAGGATAAAGGTCAACTTTTCTTATTGTGCAATATCAACGTTTCAAAATTGTTAAGTCACAGAAAATGTGTTGAATATATTTCTAATTTTGGTACTGTTTTATAATAATAATAATAATAATAATAATAATAATAAACTTTTTTTACTACTTGGCAGTGTTGTGTAATGTCTAAGGATAAGCAGAGAAAAGTCTAAATAAAAGCATGTTATTCAACATGAAAACACAAGTCTGAAAAGGTATATTTTAAGAGCCACATACAAACAATCTCATTTCCTTACAGACTTGATTTTCAAAACCAATGTAACGCAGATACAAAAATCACAAAAAATAAAAATGAAGATTTATAATTGAGGAAACCTCCTATACAGTTGGACAAATATTAAAAGTATTTTAAGAACTGACTAATCTCAAGATGTCAACTGGATTACAGTTCATTTACCTCCCTCAGACTCAGATCTAACTATCAAACCACTTGCTTCTTTGCATTGTGTTCTTGTCGCTGCTGCCCGTCAGTTTCTTCTTGTACTGCTGCACCAGAGACTCAAAACGATCCTCGTCCTGCTTCCTGAACTGCTTCTTAGCAGCTTTGGCCTTCCGGAAAAAATAAAAATAAAATAAATCCATATGAGATGTAAAAAGACAATTAAAATAAAACAGGTACATAATGAGGGATTTAGACAACCAAAGCAATCGTTTTAATAATCAGAGACAGCACAATAAATATAAACCTGGTTTCTGGGCTGGGTTGGCTTTATAATTTGTTGTCTTCGATGCTTGCTCTTTTTCAATCCAGGCTTTGCTTGTTTGGCAGGTGGAACCTGTTGCTTTACTTTATCACGCTTTCTGCAAAAGATAAGAGTTCAAAACCTGTAGTTTGATTCTGATAGCTGTCTGGGCTGATAATAGCAAAGAAACTGAAGAGGAGATATGACTAAAATGTCGATCCATACTTTAACTTATGTACAACAAAGGACAAATTTGACAAGTAAAAGGAAAACATATTAGTATATATTTTCTGAATAACTTTATCAAATACACATGCACACAAAAACATTGCTGGCAGTTTATAACTGGGTCATTACAAACTCACAAAGAGTGGATTGCAGACAGGTAACTGTGAGGAAAAGAGGAAATGGTACCTGATCTTAGGTCCCCGATGAGAAGGAAAAGCCAGAACCGTCTTTCGTTTCTTTCCATTTTCTAATTCTACGTACTCGATCTCAGCTTTGGTCTGAAAACCTGAAAAACCTTTGTTTTGTTTCTCCCCTTTAGGAATTCCTGTTGAAGAGAAAAAGAACACAGTTAATTTAAAAAAAATGTTAATGGTGACAGAATAAACCAGGGGTTCTCAAACTGGGGTCCCTGGCCCCCCAGGGGTCCGTGAGAGGTATCTTGGGGCTCCTCAAGATACCTCTCACGGACCCCTGGGGGTCAGTGAAAGGTATCTTGGGGGTCCTCAAAATTTTTTTACTAAAATGTTAATTTGGTTTTTATGTTTAAAAATGTATGGAGAACAATGAACTAATAAAACAAACATTATAAACAAAATAAAATATATATATATTCCCACAGCATTTAGGGGTTGAAATGACAATAAATTATCTTATGAAGCTACATTGTAGCCACAGCTGCCCTGGGGCACACTGACAGAGGTGGGGCTGCCATGCACCGGCGCCACCGGACCCTTTGACCACCATCAGTAGGCAAGGCAGGTGAACTGTCTTGCCCAAGGACACAACGACTGAGGCAGCTGGACAGGGGATTGAACCGGCGACCTTCCAGTTCCAGAACGACTCCCCTAACCACTCCGCCACAACCGCCCCATTTTAGGATCAAATGTAAATGTGCTTCACTTCTAGCTGTGATTAAACGTATTCAACTCTATAAATTGAATATTTACAGAAATTAGTTACAGGAGTTTGACTGTAAAATGACTAAAACTAACATTTGTAACCAATCAGGTAGTTTTCATACAATCATACTGAAAAAAAAATTAAACCTTTTGAACAAGGAAGTAATATAGATGGATAGAATACTCCTTACTCGTCTGCTCTGACGAGGACTGTGGTTTTTGTTTTCCTACCTTTTGCTGGTCCTTTGCATCCTGCAGACACCTGGGACGGTTTCGCTTCTCCCTTAAGAGACTGGTTTTGTAAAAATTCCTGCAAATAAAAATTCTCTTTTATGGAAGCTTTCAAGTGAGGAAGGAAAAAAAAACATTAAGTCTGAACCAAGATTTTAATTTGCAACTATCACAACCACACTACTTAGCACAAACCTTTTGTTTCTGACGTCGCATGTCTTTAAGTTTCAGTTTCCTGGAGTCCTCCAGGGCAAACTCAACAATGGGTCTCTGAAGAAATACACAAAACATAAAAGTTACTTTAGACTCCATCACCGTAGCACATTCTAACCTACATTAAATAACTACCCTTACAGTTTCATTTTACTTATTTTTTAAAAATACGGTAAATGCAGCAGAAATATATTTGCTTTTGAGAATTTTTTGTGTGATCTGATAAAACCATTTCATATTAAAAATAACCTGAAAATGTTTTATAAATTGTTTACTGAAGAGCAAAGTCTGATTTATTTTAACACTGAACTTGAGGCATTAAAGTCATCTAATTCTTATTGAAAGCACCTTCTGTGGGCTGAAGACATCAGGGTTGTTGTTGAGGTAGCGCAGCGTGCTGAGAGCCTGCTCGTGGTCCCGAAACTGAACAAAGCCATAACCCAACGACTGTCCCGTCGCCTGGCCCTTCTCTGGCTTCTTATCATACATGACTCGGCACTTAAAGAAGTACAGAATCATGACACGCATACAGAAAAATTAGAATGAGCACAATATCCCCCACTTGGCTCACTGATACGACACTCACAGCGGTCTGCAGGCCATAAATATGACTAACACATGACAAGTCGAAAAAAGGCCTCCAACAAACTAATGACCGTTTTTGTTCAATCATCAGCCATGAGCTCACCTCTGTGATTTGCACACGCTTGACTCCTTTTAGAGCTTGAAGGCAGAGCGCTTTGAGTTTTGTTTTGTCCACAGATTTTGGCAGGTTATGGACGCACAACCGAGTCTTTGACACAAAAACATTAACGTCTCGAAGCTTGGCCCGCTTTATGTCTTCAAACTAAGAAGGAAGAACACAAAATATCACGAATGAGTAAAAGTAAGAATAACTTAGGACGTATTACAAACAGGAAAGCAGGTTCTTTGAAAGCGGTTCTCACTCTGGCTCTTTTGTTCATGTCCAACTCGGACACGCCTTCTGCAGCCTTGGTTCCAGCACGGATCACTGACAGTTCAGACAGCAAAACAAATTTAAGACTGCATTTTAAAGGGAGCAGTCCTTAAGTAGTGGTTGTTATAATACTGACATGAAGATAAAGAAACAAGTACTATGAAACACTCACATCCCTCTCTAGCCAGGTACAAGTTTCTGCTGCCCGTCTCCACTTTTTTCTTACTGTCCTTCAGCTTTGTGACATCGTCTCTGCTCACTGCTGCAACGATAAACAGCTTCCTGCCATCCAAACGGATGCCTTGGTTCTAAAAGCAAACGTTACGACAACGCAGCAACATCAGTTTGTGAGGCAGCAAATTACGGTTAATCGCTCCTGCAAAAAGATTTACCTCTGCTTCCTCCTGGGCAGCAGCTATGCATTTGTCTGCAGCCTCTTTTGTCTTAAACTGAGCAAATGCACAACCTGGGAGTATTTTAAAAAGTGAGAAAGGTTAGTGAGCTGGTTTTCTAAAACAACAGACTCGAGTGGCGCTGACTGACCTTTAGAACGATCTGTGTCTGGATTGAGAACAATCTTGATGTAGTTGAGCTCTCCGTACCGAAGAAGAACTTCCTCAAGGCCTTCCTCATCCGTGTCGAAGGACAAGTTTCTAAATGTGGGGTGAATGAAAGGCGATGACGTCTTGTGTTTACACCGAGAGAAGCGTTGGATGAAAGCTTAAGATAACAAAAAGGAGTGTTGTAGAATAAACCCACCTGATAAAAACTGTTCGACCCTCGTTCACATCTGAAGGCAGAAGGTTTTTGGTTTTCTTTTTAGCTAAAGGTTAAAACAGCAGAGAGGACGAGTCAAAACAACTTCATTACAGACAATTATAGACAGAAACAAGAAATTTATCAGTTCGAACCTGGAGTTTCTTTATCGTCATATTTTTCATCTTCACCCTCATCATTTGAATCAAAGCTATCATCATCATCATCATCATCATCTTCTTCTTCTTCATGACTTTCATCATCATCATCATCATCCTCACTGTTTTGATCTTCACTCTCATCTTCATCACTCGACTTATCCTCCTCAGCCTGGTGCTCAGCTGCTTTTAACCCGACTCTGTAAAATTAACCACATCAGCTGCTTTATAACACGCAGACAAACATTTCCCAAAGAAGAAACAAAAAAATGATGGTTCACACTTTTTCTTCACAGAAGGAGTTTTTTTCCTCTCTTCATGCTCATCATCTGAATCGCTTTCCACTTTCGTGCTTTTCTCCTCCTCTGCCTTTTCACCTGAGGAAACAGAATCATGTTAGGACCGGTGAACACACTGATCAAGAACATGTGGGCAAAGGTCTGTCATCTTTTCAAGCACGAATAAAACTTTCATCAAACATTTCATAAAATCCAAAAACTGTATATAAAGGGATGAGAATGTATTCACCTGAACTTGTGGATTGCTGTGCAGTAACATACTTGTCTTTTGGCACAGCCCAGTCTACTGCTACTTGTCGACCTGTGAACACAAATAAAAACAAGTGAATAAAACTTTATTTTCAGCATTTTTTACATAAAAACTACTGTCTCGCTCACTAACCTTTTATTTCCTTCAGGTTCAAAGCTTCAAGTGCCTTAGTGGCAGCAGGCATATTCTTAAACTGAACAAATGCAAACCCACGCATCTTGCCATCTATCCAAGGGTGAAAAAAAATTAAAATAAAAATTAAACGGGACTGGATTTGAGAATTAGTTGTACATTTAATAAAACAGTTCATACCAGCTTTGAGGGGAATTTTGGCCTCAACTACTGTTCCAAACTTTCCAAACACTTCTTTAAGATCATCTTCTGTGCACTGTAACACAAAACACAAATCAACACATATTACAGTGGTATTACACTTTTGTGCATCACCATGCAGAATACTATACCTTAAAACTGACATTCCTGATAATAAGTCTGGATTTTTTAGATACAGTCTGCCTGAAATCTTTGGTTTTCTGCTTAGCTTGATCTGGTGCATCAGTTGTCTCTGTATCTGCACCTGGAAGGACACTTTGATGAGTTAAGTGAACATTAAAACTTGTTTTAACGCGTATTTTTGTGCAAACCTTTTTTCTTTTTGTCTCTAACTTTCTTTTTAGCCACTATCAGAGACAGCTTCTTTCCGTCGTACTCTTTTACTTCTTTCAAAGCTCTTTGTGCATCTTCTTCCATGGAATATGTGACAAAGCCGAACCCCCGACATTTATCTGTGCCTGATTTATAATAAAAATTAGTTACAGACTTGATAATTAATACATAACAGAAATGTGTCGTGTCAAAAATGAATGTATTTTGTTAGTATATAAACTACAGATGTCAGCGAAAAGAGTACCTTTTTCTTTGACCACGAAACACTGTTTAACCGGACCGATTTCTGAGAATATCTCCTCAAGCCGCTCGTTTGTAGCCGAGTTTGGCAAACAAGTAACGTATAAAGTCTGCGCAGGCATGACGTCTCCGTGATGCTAAGCTACCTGCTAACTCACAAACCAAACCCCAGCACCGGAAGTTGCCCCTAAACTGCTCTGGACCTCCCGCACGAATCACTGCCGATAAATAAATGCTATAAAACTGTTTTAATCAATTATAATAAACTAACAGGTTAAGTCGCATGTTTACATGTGAGAGCAGCCATGTTCGAAAACGAGGGACTCCTTCTGTTTTTTTCTTTTGGTAACAATCGGTTTATGGCGCCACCTTCCGTTCCGGATGTTTAAAAAAAGTAAAAATTACATTAATCTTTCCCCCTAACACTATTTCATGCTGCCAAATACTGTTCGAATCTATACATTTTGATTACTGAGAAAATTATCATAATTATCACAGTTAGAGTTGCGTTTAAATGTAATACATAAATCAAAAAGACAAAATAAGTAGGTCCTATGGATACTTATTTTTTTATACCTGGATTAATGAGATGCATCAGAACGTAATACATAACTATTAATAAACAAATTATTTGTTCATAACTTTACAGTAATTTATTTCAATGCTCATAAATGCTTTTTTTTCTGAAACGTTTTGTGCGGTACTTACAGACGGTGTCTTTGACTTCTGCCACCAGGTGGCGCTATTGAACAACTCAAGATGCTTGTGGAGAAGAGACTTGTGACATTTTTTTTTAAATCAGTGTAATTTATTTTTCCCTCTGGGATCTATAAAGTATTTTTGAATTGAATTATGTTTAAGGCTATTTGAAATCAAGCATATGAGTATGTCTATAATAAAAAGTGCTTAAAAAGTAAATCTTAACATTCTGAATAGTAAACAGAGACATGATCTGACGCTTGATGACAAAACAAAAAATAATTAAAAATAAATATCTATAGGGCAGGCAAATTTCCCAGACAAGTAAAGTCTTCTTTTTTGCAGATGTAACTGCTTCTGTCGAAGCAAGATTTTGTAAAGCAAAACTTTATTTTTATCAGCAAATACAATGATTCCCATCATCCCCATTTAACCACCACTTACATGTCACATGTTTGTTCTTTAGTTGGAACTGAACTGCAAAGAATGGGTCCCTTGTGTGTGTGTGTGTGTGTGTGTGTGTGTGTGTGTGTGTGTGTGTGTGTGTGTGTGTTTATATTGTACAATCCCAATGATCTTGGCTGTTATCGAACTTAAAAATGCACAATTATCAACAAAGTTGTCCTCATATTTATTTG